CCGGTCATATACGTATTTATTCACCCCACAGTCTTGCATTGGGCTAACTCTAATCAAATGATGCGGGCGACGCCTCCGTCTAAGTTTGGCCATTCCCTTTCCGCTTGCCAAGTAGATGCATCCTGGTACCCACAAGACGTACTCTGGTTATAATTTTTACGCAAAACTGAACACTAGACGTGTACAGTGTCAGCACAGCCAACTGGAACACGTGCACCGCTTTTTGTTAATTCCACAGCCTTCGTGAGAACCAAAACGCAACTGCACAGACTTAAACCTTAATACGTAGGCTTCAACTTAATGGCTGGTACTGCGAGGAATCCCGTAGTGTGCTAATATATTTCAAACGATCAACAACTGTGTCCGTTTATCACAAATAAATGCAAAAGAGGTTTGTTGCATGGCTGCTTTGTGGAGAGGATGGAGAATTAAGAGGAGTCAAAGCTACTTTTTATTATCAATATCCTTTATAACAGTCATTGGGACCTTGTCCATCGTGGCGATTCCGCCATTCCAATTTCTGAAAGGCAAATATGCCAAGAACATCAAGGCTTACCTCAGCTTTTCCAAATGTACTTTTGAGGTCAGGTCTGGTATAGAAAGACCGGCCGTTTTATACTCCCGCATTTCTTGCGCAGCGAGTTCGTTGGACATATCTACAGACACTGAGACGGAACAATTCTCGACTTCTCTTTGTTCCGCCTTAGTCTCAGGTCTGAATCTTCGGAGGTATCTGCAGAACAAAAAAAACGAATTGAGAAAACGTTTTAGATGTATAGTCAGGGCGTGGAAACGCGTATGAGACTGGCGTCTTGGTGGAAAGTAATGTTTTTCTAGCCTCGCATTAACAAATGAGTCATTAGAGTTTATGACCAGACAAAGAAAAATAGTGAAAGCTGTGTGAATAACACAGACTGACCGCCTAGTGCTACGTAGAGGGGCTTGCAGGAAACTAACTAGCGGTTGTAATGCGCCGAAGACTTACATGGCCATAAGTTGTTTAATTTCCGGAATCGATAGGGAGGTGGCGTCCTTTGGAATGTTGTCTTTGAACCAGGCCAGTTTCAATCCTACATGTTCGGAGGGTAATATTTCAATTCGTACTCTTTAACTCGTCCTTGCAATTACGGATCTTCTTCCTCCTACGAGATTGTTAAATGCACATAAATGTATATATGTACTTTTGGATTTTTGATACGTGATGGGCCTTGGAGATGCATTTCTTAGCTTTTCTGCTGGATGGATGCAGCACCTTAGCCGCTGCGTTCGTTTTCATCTCGGCTTAAATTACTTCTAATTGTTGGCTGATTAACGGGGAAGTAGTCCGAATTCGCGTCCAACCGAGGCAATTCTGAAAAGCAATAGGTGTATATTTCTCTGTTTGTAAGGCA